GACCTAAATTTGTACCCTTAATCAAAAGTTATTGCAAACCTTGATAAGAGGTGTCTACCTTGATATTGTTGTCAAGGCGTTGGATCATTGGAACAGTTATATTTGATAATCTTCATGATAGGCTTTATATCGAGGCTTTACTATTTTGCTATACGTCACGTCTAAGAAATATCTTAATAGATCTATATTGAAGATAGATATTAGATAGATATTGAAAAGTTTTAAGTGGTCTAAAGCGAATAAATTAATTATTTCATATACTCAGCCATTCAAAGCCTAGTTACTGACTAGACTAATCAATTAGGTGGGACTAGATTTCACTCTATTTAACTGAAGATATCCTAGGTAGAATTCAAGGGGAACTACAGGTTACTTAAGTTTCAAGATTTAATCTTCTGACCCTGTCGTCCTCGACTGCATGAGTCTAGCTACTCCACTCCTGCTTTGGTTCAGAAGAAAATCATTTTTGTCAAAATAATACATTTGTTACAAAATATGATATAACGAAGAAACGACACTATTTTGGACTGTGTGCTCTCAGGTGTTAAGAGAGATTGTTATAAATCAAATTGTCTTTCTTTCGCACCCGTTTTCTGAAAGAGTTCTTATCAGAAATAATTTGGTCATATAGGACGACGACAGTTCATTTGTTTCTAAATGACTGGCGATTTAATTCAGTAATACCCTTGACAGTACACTACAGAGGAAATTTCATTGTTTAACTTGTATTCATCTTTAGAATTAAAAACTTGTATTTAGTACCGATTTAATGTGCTTCTGTAAAATACTGTTTTCTTCTTTACACTCCAGTTTTTATGAACACACTTTTTGTATATTGCCATTCTACTATAGTATTACAGTTGAAACAGCTACAGTAATTGCCAATTATAAATACATGTCCCGTGTCCCAAAAGAATATCATGAAATGTTATGATAAACAATTGTTGTTATTTAACATACTATTTGTTACGAACAAATCAATTTTCATTTTGAATCCGGGCTCTTAACAATTTGTATTGTGTTTGGTTCTTTTACCTATCTTAAATGATAATTTTTTCATCAACATTTTTTCTGGAGATTACTCATGACTACAAAGTTATGGAAACTACGGTATGCATAAACCGTTTAATATATGAAAATAATGAACATTAAAAACTGGGTTATTTCGTAACTTATAACGACCATGTAGTAATTAGTAATTTTTTAAATATAAAAACCGTACACTTGCTACGTGTAAGCCTTCTGTATCTACACCTGTTATTATCTTCGTAACTTACTCAATCGATATTACATCCAGACATAACCCAACTAACTGCACTCTGATTTACAGCTAATTACTAATAATTACTGGTTGGTAATTAAAACATCACCACTAGCAGTGCTTTTATTCGTCCTTCATGGTCACTCAATTACGTAATCAATGTAAACGTGTGAAATTTCCGACGTAAAAACGTTTGTTAACTTTTTGTCCGTAACCACAAGATCTCGGCCTAGATTCCTCTACGTGGACTTGACTGAAACTGCCTATCTCTAATCAATATGATTAATGAGTGACCTTTGCGTTGGGAGTTGGATGCGTTTCAAGGTATGAATCTTTTTTTAAATTAATTATGTATGTGGCACAAACAGCTATACGTTTTTAAGACAAGGTTTATATCAGCATTTCAGTATTTCACGTGACTATCCAAAATGTCTTGTATGTAAAGTAAATTTTCTATCAATATAAAATATTAAAATTTTTTACTATTGCAATTTTGTTAATTGGCCACACATATACGTCACGGTTGCCTCTGCAACGACACTTGTTTTCAGAGAATGCAGTTGGAAAGTAGTCAGAAGATTGGTTAACCTTTCAGAAACGTCCTGGGAATTTAGGCTCTAGGAGTATTGGACTTGCAGTACGAAATAACATTCTACGTTTGACAACAATGTAACGAAAAAGCGTCTTTTACATTTGGTTAGAAAACATATGTACTAACAATTAAATTATGTAAACTGACAGTCAATTGACTAGGATACTTCGATTTTCTATCACAATAAACTTTAACTGTAGTTTTATATTATTTAATTTTTTGTTGCGTTTTAAAACGTGTTATGCAGTCACTATTTTTCATAGGGTATATTCAAATAATCTGTATATGTTCACTTATTCTGTATTTCGTTGTTAACAATATCTTGAAATACGTGTCGAAATTAAGTGTTATACTACACACTTAAACAATTCAATTGAAATATTTTGAACATAACTTGGACAAAGTTTTGAGTGGGTTTACGACGTTTACTACTGCTAGAACTTAACAGCAAGAATCTCAGCTATTCAATAAATGGAAACTCATTCAAATAGAAGTTATGCTAATATTTCGCTCGTGCCAAACTAAAATTTAATGCTGTATACAAAAATCAAGTACTGAAATTTTGTAAGAAAATAATTTATATTTGGATCTAAAAAAACCTTTTAAAATTATAAAAAAAACCTACGCTCTAATTGCAAAGCATGTTTTAATATCTCAGATCAAATTAATCAACTGCTTTCAATATGTTTCTATTTATTACATGTAAACACAGTAGCTACAGCACGACCCAAGATGGCGGCCAAGGTGTGACATGTTGTGACAGGTTGAGCAATATTGCACGTTGCGTGAGAGGCGTGACAATCGAGGGACATCTTGTCTTGTAATGACATTACCATTACACGAAACATCATTACATTACAGTATTACAGTATTACAGTATTACACACAGACGCGTTATGATCAACCCGCACTGGCCGCACTTCAAATTTAACATTAACCTTTGGACAGGTGACGGATGCAAGATTTAGAAAAATAAAGATAGTTCGTGACTAAAACGTTTAATATAAACAATGTTTCGCCTATATTTCAAATTTGAACTTTTTACTATCCATAGTTGAAGGGATTTTGTTTGTTTTTATTTTACACATGATAATAGTATGGTTTTCTGTTTATTTAATTTAAAGTAAATGTTTATTTTATTTTATTAATTAATTTCACTTCATTATTGATACTTTTACAAATACAGTACGTATAACTATGGTAGTGAATAAATAATACAATAAAATTGAAACCCTATAAATAACAATGCTGTGTGGTAATTTAAAATCCTTTTAATATGCAATAGCTTTTAGAGTTATTATATATCAACTTGTTGACTTAACCTTCAGGACTAATCAATATAATTTAATGTTAATTCAATTTTTTTCTTACTGCCAAAATTAAAGTTTATATTTAATATTTGTGTCGTAATGGTTAAGTGTACAAAATATCACGTGGCCCTAACTCTAGGGTGAATTTGCATTTGCATTTAATTTAACATTGTTGTAATTTAATTGAACTACATTGGAAATCTACAAGTTCTTTTACTTCAAAGCAAAAATCATAAATTCAACTCAAACGTTTAACTAACTAAATACAGGATTTGCAATAAGTTAGTTTCATTCAACTATCAACCATGTACTAAGTCTGAAGATTCAAGCTGATTCCACACCAACAATCCCATATTTCACGCAGTTGGGGGCGATGTTGTATTTTGTGTTCATAATGTAATTACGGAGTTTTTGTCATGTTTTGTCTCATTTATCAATTAGAGTCCTTATACAGTATGTTATTCATTTCCTAATCTACAGTAAACTTTGTGGCACGTGTGAATCATTCAAAGAGTGTCACAATATGATTTTATTGCAATAAATTTTGATTAAACATATTTTATTTTTTCTATTTCATTCCAAGGTACTTACTTAACTCACCAAGGATGTGGCTACAATACTTCTTGGAAACTTTAACAACCGTTTAAAACCCAGCAAGAAAGTCTTGTTTACGCAATTTAAATTAAGTGCTTTTCCAATTGTTTACTTACATTTGAGTCATTTTTATATTGCAATTCATAAATCGATGGTAACATTTTGAAGTAAATGTCAAAACTCAACATTTAACATGAAAAATAAAATTATCCTTGCAAGTATTCTCGATATGTTGTTTAACAAATAAATAAATCCAAAATATGTGTTACGCTGAAAACTATTTCGAACACAAAAAGTGTTTTGGTTATAACTTTTTCTACAAAAATATTTACTACCGTACGTAAAACTACATTTGCATCTTGAAATACAATTTTTCATTTAAGGGCCTCGGATGAACATTGTTAACGTAAAAATAAATAGTATGTGATATAGATCTGTAAATGGAAATTTACTAAAACTTTAAACAATCAACTTTACTTTTTAGCAACACATTAAGGCTCATGGTTCAAACTTTTGGATACTAACGAATGGTAAAGTACGACGATTAAGAAGCTTTATCATTAGCTATAGTAGTATAACCATAATATAGAATTGTTTGATTTAGCTAATGGCAATGCTTCACAGTATAAGTAGAATGCTGTATTATGTGTTATTAGTTTTTGCTAAGTTTATAAAATAAATTATATTATATTTTGTAGACACGCAAACATTTATAAAATTGGGCCGTGCCTAATTGATAAACTATAACGGGCTAACATCTTTTGATCAAATACATTTTCTACGATAATTTCTCGTTTTTCCCACAGTTGGTTTTAAATATCACAAAACATATTATCATTTAAAATAAACGTTTAAAAACAAACACTTGAAAACATAAACTGCACTTTAAAATTTCACGCAAGTACAGATTGACAATAAAGAATTAATAATCTACAAACGGTAAAACGTGTCCCTAGTGTAAACAGATCTAGGAGTACCCAGAGAATTTACTACGATCATATGGAACACGGAGTTCAATAGAAAAGACGCAAGATTTTACAATGTGACATTTTTTCAACTACCTATTTGTTTGTATCATAAAAACTTACTCTAAAGAGTTGCTAGTGTCCATGACTGAGTTTGCCAGTGGATTTACTTGGTTTTATGACTGTCATTAATTGTTTTTGGAGACACGCCATGGTAAAAAAAATCGGACCCAGTACCTTCCCTTGGGGGACCCCAACATATCACTAGCATTGCTTACCCAGTAGGAGAGGCAGGACGAGTTGCCAACGCATGTTGGTCACTACACTCGCGAGCACTACACAAGACACGACCGCGACCACTGCTGTAGGTCTACTGATGGTCGCCGACCACGACCACGACCACGGGCCGAAGATAACGGGTCCGCCGTCACCTGCTTCTCACCTGGTCTGCGTCCTGCGTCACTCATTCATCACATACACTACGTAGTGATTCTTCTGTAAAACGTTTTGTTTCATTATATTAATTTATTTTTTGACTTTTTTTAATTTCCTCCCACAATTTTTTAAAATTTTGTTAATATTTTCAAGTTTAAGTTTTGGGTGTATCCATTTTGGGCCCCCCTGATCCCCAAAAGTGGTGTTCGAAGTGATGTCTGTGTCTGGACGTGTACAGAGACTGAGCTACAAAACACACCTGTGGTCCGATTTTTATGTTAATCGGCATGTGGGTATGTGGGTATATATGGTATATCGTGGTTTTTCTATTATTTGGTTTTTAGCGAATTTCCCTTTAGGGAAGTAGATATTACCGTAGGTGGCACGGTAAGACCTAGACCCGGGACCGATTTACTTTTTCATTTTGATGTCCCCAGAGGCCAAAAACACCATTCGTTCAAATTTTTATATATGTATATATATATATATATATATATATATATATATATATATACGTCCGTGAACGCGATAACTTGAGTAATTTTTGTCCGATTTTGATGAAATTTGGTTTAAAGGTGTAAAGCGGGATAAACTTGAATGAGTTCGCGAACCAGCACGATCGGACCATGGGAACGGGGCTTTACGGGGGGTTTTATGGGGTAAAAATTGTTTTTCTCACTTTTGGCCCTCAAAACACAAAATGTCCCGATTTCTCTTTAGACCTTTTTAAAGAGCTTAAAAAAACAAATAATTTAGTATATAAAAGTATTTTTGTTCGATTATTAGTAACGGAGAAAATTAAACAAATTGTAAATTTAAAATTCCCATGTTATTCTTATGGAGAATATTGTCAAATGTTGTAGTTTGCTTGGTTATGGATATATTTTGATCAAACTTGGCAAATTTATTTATTTTGTACTAAGCTATCAATATTTTACTCAAAAACACACTTTATTAGTTTCCTTGTAGCAGCAAACCTAGGTACTCGTTAAACCTAATGTTATTAAAATATATTTAACTGAAAATCAATTCAGACAAATGAAAATTCGCTTAATCGGCAGGTTTGCTGCGGCGGGGGTATTTATGTTAATGTTGATTTTACAATAAAAAAATCGGATTTGAAAAAATGCTTAAACATTTTTTATTTAGTATCTTCTAGTTCTTTTAATCCTAAACAAAATGGTACAACCCCCATTGTTGTACGAATTACGGTTCAAGAGTTATTGCAACATTTGTGATTTTTCGCTTTAAATATCGTAGTTACTCTCACTGCTCCATGATAAAGGTTGTTGCCAAGCTAATGGCAGAAAGTAAGAGTAATTCTGCTGATACCGTTTATTTCTATTGTGATGATTATTTATTTTTCTGCCGGATTGTAATCGTAAATGATTTTAAGTTCTATTTCAATCGACTAGTTTATTTTTATATTTATAAGCCATTTAAATATTTTTGGTAGTTCAGTTGTCTTGTTTTGCATGTTCTTTACAAAAAGATAAATGATACGGAATTTTAGATTATTAAAAGACCCGTAGACCATGACCTAAAGATACGATTATTATTTGCACTTCATATAAATATTGTAAAATTTTTTTTACACAATCAAAAAGTTAAGGTATTCTCTACAATGTGAACACAGCACTCTAACGATATTTTTTGGGTATGATTCCTGGTTGAATGACTCGTGCTTGTAAATTGTAATCCTTAAATTAATCTGTTTCCAAGAAAGCACCAACAGTGTATTAGTTGCATATGTTTAACATATTATACCAGATATTTTGATCAACGGCAAATCACTAAAACGGATATAGAGGAGAAAGTGGAATGTGGAAAGAACGTGTTTTCGGTAAGAGGATTAAGACGGCGATATATTGTAAGCATTTTCTTTGGATATATATTATATACACTATAGAGGTAGAAATAGTGGCGTATCTCCTATCGAAAAGACCCCTGGACTCGAGGAGGAATTCGTGATAAAAAATTAAGATGATAAAAAGCTATTCTTACAAATCAAAAAACATTATTACTTTATGCTGGCTACTTCGAGTTAGCTCAATTTTACTTGATTCAAAAAAATGTAAAACACAAAACTAAGCACATTCACATCTAAATTGTATTCAATATCTAAACTTTCCTGTAGATATATCTACGAACATCTTCTAGATAGTACTAAAATCGTGATATTCAATTGACTTAATACTAATGATACTATAATTGGTTCTACGCAACTATCCTTGATTGAAATATTTACAAGTCAATTAAAGGTTACTCAACGACGAGACTATAGAGTACATCGTTACTTTCTGCATGTCTTACCATCTAATAAGCCAGCTTACCTTTCAAGGACGTTGGCAAGGTTTGTGTTTGCATTTTCTATTAAGAGGATTGACTTCTCTCTCTTATTGACCTTGATGACGACTGTTATAATATATTTGAGAAAGTGAAGCCTAGAGTGACGTGAGTAAGTTAAAACTTCAAGTCTATTGTATAGCAGAACTCGCCTTTGGCTCGCCCCAGGCCCCCTTTTTTGGTTGGGGGTAAATAGAAATGGGCCATGGCGCAAGACCTGCAATTGAGCCAAATTTCAGATCTTTAGCTAATCTATAAGTGGGTAAAATTGATTTAGACCGATGCACCTGTAGGAATAACATTGGGGGGGATTCTAATTTTCGTGGGGGGGGGAGTTATATTTGTAAAATTTCACTTTTCGGAAAGGGCGCAAGATCTACAATCATGCTGAATTTCAGATATCCAGTTAATCTAGAAATGGGTAAACGTGATTTAGACTTATGCACCTGGAAGAATAACATTAGGGGGGGGGTTGTAAATACGATAGGGGGATGAAACCTTAAGTAAACCAGAGTAAATCTATAGCATGAACGGACCATGGGAACGGGGATTTATGGTGGTTTTTATGGGGTAAATGTTATTCTCCATAAGAATAACATGGGGCTCGTAAAAACTTTCAAATTTGACATTAAACCTAAGTTTTGGGGGTCAAGGAGTAAAGTTACGAAAAACACGTGATGTGTAAAATTTAAAGTAAAGTAAGTGGAATACAAAGCAATATTAATTTTTTCAAAAACAAATTATTTAAGTATAAAAAAATGGCAAAAACCAGTAAAAATTTAAAGAAATTTACCAAATTTTGAAAGTAGGGCGTTTTTTGAAGGTTAAGGAGTGCGATTTTCGAAAAACGCGTTATAAAGGTTTGTAGAAAATTTGATTCCCGTTCATGAAAATCCGTTCAAATCTTTTCTATATCTTACCGTTTGCGAGCTATAGGCGATTGAAAAAAATGTGTTTTGTAGTTTTTAAAGGTCCGCCAATTTGGATTTTTAGGGTGGTTAAAATTTGAAAATGGGACTTTTGCAAAATTCACCATAAACTTATGATCCCTTACTACAATAGTACCAAATTCCAAGTCTCTAGCACGTTTCTAAACGATTCATATGACCATACTAAAGTCATTATATTTCAATCTCATTCTCCATAAGAATAACATGGGGCTCGTAAAAGTGGCAAAAAATCTTCAAATTTTCAGATTAAAATTAAGTTTTGGAGGTCAAGGAGTAAAGTTACGAAAAAAACATGAAGTGAGTAAAATTTAAAGTAAAGTAAGGAGAATACAAAGCAATAATAATATTTGCGAAAAGGAATTATCTAAATATAAAAAAATAGCGAAAACCGTAAAATATTTGAACGAAATTTACTAAATTGTGAAAGTAGGGCGTTTTTTGAAGCTGAAGGAGTGCGATTTTTGGAAAACGCCTAGAGGGTTTTGTAGAAAATTTAATTTCCTTTCGCTAAGATTCTTTCAAATCGTTTCTAGCTCTTACCGTTAAGAATAACATGGGGCTCGTAAAAACTTTCAAATTTTGACATTAAAATTAAGTTTTGGGGGTCAAGGAGTAAAGTTATGAAAAAACATGTGGAGAGTAACATTTAAAGTAAAGTAAGGAGAATACAAAGCAATAATAATATTTTCAAAAAGGAATTAATTAAGTATGAAAAATAGTGAGAACCGGTATAAATTTTAAGGAAATTTACCAAATTTTGAAAGTAGAGCGTTTTTCGAAGCTGAAGGAGTGCGATTTTCGGAAAACGCTCTAATAGGTTTTGAAGAAAATTTAATTTCTGACCATGAAAATTCTTTCAAATCGTCTAGCTCTTACCGTTTCCGAGCTATAGCCCTTTGAAAAAAACGTGTTTTGTCGTTTTAGCGAATTTCCCATATAGGGAATAAGCTATTACCGTAGTACTCATGGTAAGACCTGGACGCGGGACCGATTTTTTTTTTCGTTTTGAGGTCCCTAGAGGCCAAAAACACCATCCGTTCAAATTCATATATATATATATATATATTTATATATTTATATATTTATATATTTATATATTTATATATTTATATATTTATATATTTATATATTTATATATTTATATATTTATATATATATATATGTGTGTCCGTTAGCACGATAACTCGAGCAAAAATGATCTGATTTTGATGAAATTTGGTACAAACGTGTAAACCTACGTTTATTCGAACGAGTTCGCAATCCAGCATGATCGGACCATGGGAACGGGGGTTTACGGGGGGTTTTATGGGGTAAAAATAGGTTTTTCCTATTTTTTACCCAAAAAACATAAAATTTAGCAATTTATTTTCAAACCATTTTGTAGAGCTTAAAAAAACAAATAATTTAGTATATTGAAGCGTTATTATGCACCTAATGGTTACGGAGAAAATTCCAAAAAATTGTAAATTTAAAATTCCAATGTTATTCTTATGGAGAATAAGTAAACTGTTGTAGTTTGCTTGTTTATGAACATATTTTGATCAAATTTGAAAAATATTTTTATTTCTTACTAACTATTAACATTTTACAAAAAAAGAACAGTTTTACCCTCCCTGATGCAGCAAA